AGCAGGAACTGTGCAGACTGTTAACAAATTACTGATGCCATGCAAACACCTATATCCAAAAATTACTTGGTTCTTCATTTGAAATTGTCCTCCCCACACCTCCCAAATAACAGCAAAAAGTAACAGGAGCTTCTGTTTCCCCAAATTTAGCCAAGCTTGCCTTTATACAAAAAACATGAAGTACCAAATAAATACAGAATTTTAAGAACTGAAAGAGCAATCATCTTCTTAAGAAACTCAGAGATGTGATACAAAAGAAACAACACTGAGACCACATATAAAATAACAGGTTGATGTTATGTTTAACTATCCGTACTAAAGCCACAGATGATGTCTGGCAAAAAAGTTTCAAGAAAGTTTTACTATGAAAATGAAATAAAGTTGGGAGAGTTTAACAAATGTCATCACTTTAGATGCTGTGAAAATATTACTTTACTTGAAATGCATTCAGAATTTCAAATTCCTGAAATGCTAAATTTTCAAACCTTAAGTAGACTACTGCATATAGCTATAGCTGTTCTGTGAAATGCACAGATTCAAAAATCCCTTGTCTACTTTTTTCTTTTTTTACCTAAAGGAAAGGATGAGAAGTGCTTGCAAAACAAAGTCAATTGACAATTTTCAAAGTTTACCACAGGGAAAAAAAAAATCACATATTCCTTTCTTTCCTTGTGACCACTGTACTTCAAGCAAGACTGTGTCTAAATTCAGAGAATGCTTGATGTTACAACTGCACAAGAATCAAATGCTGTCACACTTATCACTGAAGAGTCCAATGGCATACTTCAATGGCATCGATCTTCACATGATGAGATGGGAAAGCAGTTGCTCAGCTGCACTGAGATTGTTGCTTGCTTGCACCATGGTATAATTGCATTTAACCTGGAATTCAGTGAGGACTCATCCCAGCCTTTCATGTTTCCCTGAAAAAGCTTTTCTACACTTTTATATAAACCAACAGACACCCAGGATGAGCAGCTCTTCAGTTCTTTCACTGACTATAAGAAGCAGGTGTTCTGTAAATCAATAGCTTAATAGTTATGCTAAATATAGCTTTTGTCACATTTCACTTGTAATTCAATGCAATGCTTCTTGATACCTCAGTCATCATCTTGCTGATTTCTTTTCTGTCAACAGAACAGAAGAGTTCATAATGTTAGGATACAGCTATCTGAAGTAAGAGCACTAATAAATCATGACAAATGTTTCTAGATACAATGGATATTAGACAATGACTGCATTTCTAAGTCATTTTTTGAATGGTAGGAGATAATGTTTCCAGCAAATGGAGCAGAGCAATATCAACCCTATCCCCCAGCCCAAACTATAGGATTTTATTTCCATTAAAGAAGATATGCCCTGTAGGTTAATCAACAGTATATACAAGAACCAGAAAACACGGTGGTGACAGAAGTTAGTGGTCCTGCCCTCCCTTCCCTAGCTTACAAAGATGCCGTGTCTTTATGCCACTGTTCAAAGGAACAAAGAAACTATATTGACAAAGGAACAAGTGTTTAAGGTTTCTTCCTAACGTACCATCTTCTAGCTTTAAAGAAAGTCTTAAAAGCATTAGCTTCAGCCATTCAAATAATACATTTCCATTTATGCTACATTTGTATTTACATTTAAATAAGAAAGAAAATAGCTAGGTCCTTCAGTAAGATTTGTCAAACTACATTCACCGCTTCCCGTGAAGATAAAATTAATTAACTGAAATGAGATCAGTGTAAGAGTTTGCTCTTCACCGCTTCATTAAAAAAGAACCCAACAACACATTGTATGATGGCTCCATACATTACATTTTCTGTAATTATGTAACCTACGTTAATTATAAAAGCAGAACTGCAGGCACTTTGATGTTGCCATTTCACAAAGATAGAAAGTCAGATTTTCTTCGCTACTTCTTACCAGTTTAAGGAAGTCAATTAATTTGTGAACGTCCTCTCCTGTAGAAAGGTCCACAAAATCTTTCGGCAGTCGGTAACTCAGGTATGGACTCGGCTGGACAGTAACCTTACTGTTTGTACAACGGAAAACTGGGTAGTCCTTTGGAAAAGATATTGGATAAGACAAGAACAGCGTACATGAAAAAAGCCAGCAACGTTTCTTGAACTCCTCCACAAGACTGTCTGAGTCACTTTGCCCATGAGTTTCTTTAGCATTCACTCAACTAAACCCACATTTTCTGAAAATTGTAGCTTTCTTATGAAAAATTTTGCCCACTTAAGAGCACAAGTTAGAATGTTAATAGCAGTCAGATAAAGGCATTCATTCCCTCACTTTGAAGTTTCCACAATGTATCAACTATTAATGCATTTAATAAACATACGCTTATAAGAGCTATAAAAACTTTGGGCAATAGCATCTACATAAATATGTGGATAAAGAAAATCTTTACGATAAAGTCCCTAAATGTGTATTCACAGGTTCCTTGATTAAACCCATGTTTGCAAATATAACCTGACTGAAATTGTGATCTAAGCTCTCAAACCAATTTACTTACTAAAGAAAAAAGTACACCTATAAAATATCTAAATGCTCAATTGTAGCAAGAGATTTTGTGTAACTTGATACAATTTTCAGCTCAACACACTGACATGCAACATCATTGCCCACTGTACAGTAATAAGCAGCTTCACTTCAAAGACAAAAGTTCAGTAACTTCACACCAGATTCTGTGATCAGATGGAAGCTGAGGCACGAAGACAAGGCATTCTGCTTTTCACATGGGCTTACACCAGAGAAAACTGCATAAAGAGTCTGGCACAGAAAAATAAACCCTCAAAACAAAATTCAGGTGTCCCATGGACAGTTCAAGAATTGAAAGTGTTTTATCAAAGGAGAGAACTTTTAGCAGGGAGGTTCATTGAATGATTTTCATACAGCAATAGCTGCATGGTGAGACAGAGAAAAATGGCATGAATGATAGCCTACGGCGTGGCATATTTCCCTTTCAAAGTGGTATGAAAATGGAGACAGAACTAAAGCAAAGCTCAAATGTTAAAATCAGCTCAATAAAACACGACGTTTCAGACACCTCTGATGTAGTTTAACAGCTAGAAAACACAGAAAAGCCCATGCTATCTGGCTGGCCATCTCTCCTCAGACAACTGCCAGGTGTTTCCCAAGATCAAGTAACATATCCAGCTGCCCAAGGACTCACTGAGATGTGAGGACTCGGTCTCAAGCACGCAGTGAGGAATAAAGCTGGAGTACAAATACATGAAGACTATTCCTCCCTCTCTGTATTAAAAGGATGTTATTTGTTTTTATGGAGGCAATGCAGCTTAGAAGAGGGATAGAAAAGCCCTGCTTTGCAAGTCAGGGGAGTTCAACCACAGGACAAGGCTTCCCTGAGGATATTCGATATGAGGAAGAGACAGAAGTTAAACTTCTTTTTGCCTTCCCCCCCAGACATAAATCTGGAGCTCTGGGAAACTGTATGACAGATACCAGGAACAAAACAGAACTTTATGTGATGAAATATAAAAGTAACAGATTTTAAGAGAAATTGAAAAGAATGCATCAAAACCGCATAGAAGAAAGTTTCAAGGCATCTTCTTCACAATGTGATCAGAGCTGCAATATGGGCTTGTACTGCTTGAACTGAAAACTCCCTTGTAGGCATCTAAAAGGAGCATGCAATACTTGTTGAGATTAAGTACTGCCTAATAAAGTAGACTCTACTTACAAAAGAGTTTACACCTCAGTTAAGGTTAAGGAGTTAAGGACATCTGTGTACTACAATGTGATATGCATCATAATTTTATTGTAACAAAGAAAGACAGTGGAAAAAAGGGTCATAATGCCAACTGGATTTGTTAGTGAGCCTCTCTCACCCCAGGGCTGTACCTGTTCTGTCGCTTCCCCTTCACCCTGGTCTTCTTTCAAGTTCTTCCCAGAGGTCAGTTCTTCCCACGTAAACAGCAGGGAGTCTGTTACTTCACCAAATGGGTTAAAATCTATTAACCAAATCTTACCCTGCAATGGAACAACAGAAGAAGAATTAAAACAAGCCACAGAACTTAAAAAATATCAGAATAAACATATATTACTGTAATATGCTTGGCCTTTAGATAGATGTCAAAATTGACACCACCTGCCTTTAAGCACTTAAAATCTTCTTACATCCTTTACATTAGACGCAGTTTTAAAACAGAGCAAACTATGACTTACTAATTTATTTTATTTTTAAACAGAAGATCAGACAGAGTTCAAATAAACTGAATACAGTTCTACACAAGGTGCTTCCAGATGAGACCACAGAAGTTCTGTCTAATCCCCATGGTCCTCCAAGATCCCCAGACAGCATGAACAGCAAATGGAAAAAACCCACAAACAAGCCACCAAACACACACAAGAATCCCAACCCTAAACAAGGATTTTGCTTTCCATCAAAAGCCACCTCAGCACAGCTCTACATTCAGCAGTCTACAAAGATTCCTGTTCTTGGTCCCAGAAGGGATTTTAAAAATACAGAGCAGGGTCTGCAATAAGCTATTGGAGATCATGAAAGCTGAAGGGTGCTGCACAGATCTAGATAAACAGACAGTAATTCAAAGGCATTTTTAATATAGTCACTACTAGTAGTCCAGGCTAGTTTCTCCTGCCTCATCTTTAATATAGTTGTGTTCCAAGCAGTTCTGGTAGTATACACAACATCACGCCTGTTTTACAAGTGAAAAGTGAAAGCAGCGAGACTAACATGACTTATTAAAGGGAACAGAGATGTTCACAGAGGAGCAAGAAATAGTGTGCGCTCCTTGAGTCATCTCAAGATACAACTCCCAGCACAGGGCCATCTTTCCTTACCCAAGAAAGTGTTAGCTATTCTAACAAAACAAAAAATATAATAAATTACAATGAATTATGAATACAACTAGTTGTAAGAATTTGCAAAACAAGTATTACTCTGGAATAAATCAATCAGATTTATCAAATGCAGAAAGAAAAAAGTAGCTGTAACATAAGCAGGACTGAAGGGTTTCAGTATGTTTATTAAAGATCAACTGGAATTGGAAACCAAACCTAAAGACTGTATAGCTACTGAAAACTTACTTTGCTTTCTCTTTCTTTCTCTCATTCCTGAAGGTTCTTCCTTCTTTAAAAGATGCTTCCTATCTTGATACAAACAGCAAATATCTCCAATGATTTACACTACAGCCATCTGGTTTCCAACTTACAAAGATGCTTTTGAAGCCTTCAATCACAGAGTAACATGGAGACTTCCTCTCCCACCCACACTGCCCAAGCCACCCCCACAGGCACTAACGCACCATAGAATAGGAAACGCATGGAAACCCATACGATTGAGAACAGAAACGCTCTGGCTGGTCTGTTATCATCCATAGTGAGTTACTCATGCAGGTGGGGGGAGTCCCTGCACAGATAAACCGGTGACCTTACTGGTAAACTGGAACTGAGCCATCACCGCAATGGGTGAGCGTGTGGTTGCACACAGGCTGTCACAGGGCTCTCTCTCAGGGCAGATCCACGGGGTACGGCTCTCTCAGAGCCAATTTTAAGAAGCCAGTGCACCACAACGGCAGCACCGAAAGCAGAAAGCTACAAAAGAAACTGTGAATTGCAGGGACACAGACCTGAATGGTTTCTTTCTTGTTTTGGAAGGGTGAAATCCACGTGGTTTAGTTGCAACACCTCTGCACCAATATTGACACCATCGGTGCAGAGAGAGAACAGGGGTAAGCTCTGCTATCATTTTTCATCTCTGTTCCTCTTCAAGAGGCAGTCACAAATTCTCATTATAAGTGATGTTTTACTTTTGCTAATGGGGACATCTTGTTAACTCCGAGGCAGCAGGAGGAGGAATCTGTAATTTTAGATTCGTTCTATCACACTAGAAAAACAAGCTAATGAACCAATTTAACCGCAGATAAAAGAAAGGCTGGCAAAGTTCGTTCAGCAGCTCAGAGAATTTTCCCCTACATCAGAAATGTTTATACTTCATAAAAGACTTCTGTATGAAAAGCTTCTACAGAGATTCCTCCTTACCTCAAATACATGAATCTTGGCTTTTCCCTAGGAACTCAAGATCACTTATCTAGAGAAGAGATGTACCCTGGAAAACTGGTTTTGAGGCTACTGAAAGCAACCTGTTTTCTGTGAGCACCCAGCAGTATTTCTCCCTCCTGTACAGCAATACACAACACCAACCATTTCCTCGAGGTGTCTTAAATCTGCACTGAGTTTCAAATTGGTGACAAAACCAACTAAATATCCCTTTTCAGGGCTCATTAAAGGGACTGTATATAACTCGGGTCAGTAACCAAACTGTCTTTTCTTAAGATTAAATGCTCTTTCAAGTCTTACATGCAATGTAATTTAAATGTAGTTTAAGATGACTTGCACTGTGTATCTGAAGAGCAGTAGTAAAGTTATTTATCTGCAATCCTCTGGTATCAGTTATCTTTGTCATATGAGAGCACAGAAATACACAAGTCAGGAAAGCAAAGTTGTGCACATCTGGAAAGGAAACAAAAAAACACAACCTGCATTACATAAGATTTTTTTTCTCATCCTAAAACGGGAACCAATAGATTTAGCATGCCATGTCAGCTTCACACTTTGTTTTACTAAAGCATTAAGCAACATGCTGCTGAAAGGAAGTGCCTAAGACAAAGGCTGTTCAAAGGAAATTAAAAGATAGATAAAATGCAAACTGAACTGTTACATCTTCCTAACTCCAGCTGCACCTTCATGCACAGTGACAGTACTCACAAGGCAGAGACCCAAGCACTAGTTTGCATGTTGAGAAAAGCAGCTGTGGGCTAGCAGTGCTCTGGAGCCACTCACTGCATTTCTTGTGTCTTACCACAGTGCCCTGTCTTCAGCGTGGTTACAAGTTGTTAGCACCTGGGAGATACACAAAGAGCAACAGCAGAGCCGATTCTCAGGCTTGGCAGCTGTTGCACATTATTATGAACTGCTAGCAGAAGAACGACCAACCAAAAAAGTGGATCCAAATGGAAACAGGCTACCAGTCCTGCAACACAACCTCTTCAGGACTAGATCTCCAGACCATTCAGCTTGGCAGACTGCATGACAGTGTTTTTTCCTTAAAAGATGACTTCTCTGCAAAGCCAGGCACCAGCTCAGATGAGCTCGGTGAGGAGAGTGAAACAGGAAAGGCAGACACATAAAAGCTTCTTCTTAACCAGGCCAGGGCTGCTCCTGTGCCACCCTCCAACTCTGCGAGCAGGACCTGTGACAGCCCCCTCTGTACAGCCTCTCAAGTGACTAAAACAAGCAAGGGGAAGGGATTGCTCTCATTCACAACCATATCAAAGAAAACGCTTCTCCAAGATTAACATTTAGAGGTTGAAAGAATTTAAAATAAGCAGACACTGGACATTTCTCTCATTCTGTAGGTGAGGTTGCTGTGCAACCAGCCTGATGAGGAGAACGGGCTCTGGAAATTAATCACAGGGCAACACCCGGTAGTCTTCTGCTGCCTGTAAGTTTCATACAAAGGAGCAATGAATAATACAGTTGCAAACCACAAAAGTATCTGTGAAAGGAGGAGGATCTGACACACAAAGGGCTATCTGACAGTTTACAAGACCTGAGGGTAGAAGGCACCGAGAGATATCTACAAACAGATATTTTATCTTGACAGATGAGGAAACCACTGCTCACTTGAGACCACACAGGCCGGAACCTTTTACTTAAATAATCTGTCTTCATGGCTCAGCCGTGAGGCAGAGCACCCAACGGCAGAACGCGGTTCAGTGCTGAAGTGTTGCTCCTCACTTTGCCTGACAGCATCCTTGAGTCTGAGGATCTGAACCCAGGCAGGTAATTTTCATTACCATTCAGCACGGCTGTTTTCAGCCTGATTCCAGGTACCTACATTAAAAGTTGTACTGAGTAACAGTACCAGAGTCTTTTTCCACACGACACAAATTCTAGTGTAGTTTGTTTTGCAAACTATGGCATGATTTACTATTACACAATTACAAAATACTTTGGCAACATTCAAAGTCAGAATCAGGACTCACTACAAATATTCCCAACTCAGCTCAACTAAAGACCTTCTCCAATCCCGTAACAGTAAACAAGTCAAACAGTGAGACTCAAATTCATATAGCAAAAGCATATAGCCCTTTTTTTGCATTATTAGTTTGGGATTTAGAAAGAAATTTAAGCTCAAATGAGTATTTACTTCTCATGCACTAATGCAATTCCCAAAATCAGGTTGTGATCCCCAAAATCATTTGGAGATTTAAGGCTACATAATGCATTTTCGGTTGTGGTTGTTTTTAAAAGAACATGTGTGCCTTTCAAGCACATCTCATCTCTCCACTGACACCACAGAGGTCAAAGTGACTAATGTGGATATCGGCAGCTGAAGCATGGGATAGGACACTTCTTCCTGCTCCATCACTATCCAGATGTTCAGGGTTCTGATTTGCTGAGCACTCAGAACCACAGCTGGAGCAGTTTGAAAAGGAAAACATCAGCCTCCATCTGTCCCAGACTGGGCACACCACATTCATATATTCCTTTAACAATTATCCCTTTCATACTCCAGACTGCCATATATAAATACAAGTTCTCATTTTCCAGGCTCACAAGGATAATCTGAAGAAATGACTAGTTTGGATGAATTCTTATGCTTTAGGGAAAAACATCACAAACAAACAAATGCCCAAGAAATTAGGGTTGGTTTTTTTTTTTGAGGAAAGAGCATCAAGAATCCCCTGCGTTTTTTTCAGTGAGCAAAATATCACCCCTGCCTTATATTTTTTTTAAATAACCCAGCCATTCTGGCTGAATGTTCAGATACATTTCAGTCAAAAGCACGCAGAGTAAGCACTATGCAGAGGGACCCTTAGCAACAGGCAGTGCTTCGCTAGAACAGTTTAGTAATGTTGCTTGATATTGATGAAGTACCCACCTTAAAACTAAATTGCCTTCGGTAGACTCATAGAACTGACAGAACAGCTGAAGCCAAAGTTACGTGCTTTAAGACAGACTACTTCTCTGGAAGGCATTTACTAAATAATTACATCGCTGGCACAGACATATTTACACTCCTAATCCTATTATTCTCCTACTGTGGACAGTGTCTAACACAGAAAAAGACCTGGGGAACAGAATGATAACATCAAATGGTTCTTTTTTTTTTTTTTTTTCTCCTCCCCCAGAATCACTTCTAGGAAGACAGGAAAATGAAGCTATTGTTTGCTTCATCTCTGTACCATTTCAGGAAGAATTTCCACAGAATAAACAATTATATACAACTTATTGTTCACTTACCTTGCTGTCTCGGTACACATCAAAAACAACTGAAAAGGAGGAAAAAAGATGTTAATCTTACAGCATATACAATTTCACAGAAGATGTCTAAATCTGAATAGATGCTTGTGTACACAGCACAATCTGCAAAGTCAATATGTCTAAAGAGCTGCAAGCCAGAATTAGGTTCATTTCCAAGAGGGAGTTGAAACATTTCAAGAACTATTGTTAATACACAGAGAGATCGGTTGCTGGGTTTTTCCACTTAACGCTGGTTTCTTCTGTTAATTTTCCCCCCCAGTAAAGAACATTTGATAAACTTGTAGCACAGAGAGAAGCTTATCTCTGACACTACTGCTGTTCAGTTTGCAGCAGAATGGAGAAATTTTAAGGAAGGATCAAGACTCCGCTAACACTGCACACTCCAAGACATTGCACAAACATTTAATAAGAGAAAGTTTCTGCTCGAAGGAGATTAGGACTTCAGCAGATAAGAAGACTAACAGGTTGTAGGAACAAAGGGGCAAGTGGGCGTGCTGAGGAGGAGGTGGCAGTGAAATGGCTATGTTTAACGTAACCCAGAGCAGATACAGCACACCTACCATTATCAACAGCTCCTTCAAACGGAGCCTTTGCTACTCAGTGACTGACGCAAAGCTGCCTTGTGTAGCTTCATTGTCGTACCTTCCTTTGACTTAATTAAGCATGAATTTTTGTACATGCATCTTTCTATTAGCTTCTGTTCTGTATGGTTAAACAAAGCTTTGATTTGTCTTTCTATTCAGAAAAGAGCGTATCGACAGATAAGCGTTCAGGCATGACTACATGCACAACTTGTACCAGTTTAGCAGAAAGAAAAAAGGAAAAAAAAAAGTAATATTTAGAAAAAGCTCAGACAAATGGTGTATTGTCACTTCCTTCACTAATAGGGAAGGGAATATTTCAGCTAAGAAATTTCACAATACATGTGGGATAAACTAAACTCAGGATATGACTGAGGAACACTTGAGCCTCGGCGACTGCTCAGGAAGCTGCCCGTCAGTAACAGGGATGTTGATTGATCACATCCATGCATGTAAAGCTACTCAGCAGCTCAATCTAACATTTCATGCAAAGCTGGCTGGGCTAAGGGCAAACCACAACTCAACAGTGCCAAAGCCAGTCACGAAACTCTTTTTTGACCATATAGCCTAAAAATCCACACAGCCTTTTGCACAAGCTCAGTTACGTCAATTTAAAATGTCACTCCGGAATTAAGTGCTATATTTTCTCAAGAAGGCAAGCCCTTGGTGGCTAAGGAAGTCAACAATGCAAAGAAGAGTACAGCAACTCTACATTTCTTCTCCAGCTGTTCAACTGAACTTGTTGCCTGTACCATGCACTCTCATTAGTCATAGTCCATTAATAGAAAACCTGCATTTGAGCTTTTATTATAAAATGATGCCTGTCAGCTTAAAGCAAGCCGATGGCAATCATTGAGGCTAACAGCATTTAGAGGGATTTATTTCCCCATTAAGACTGATTGTACATTGGTGATTGGTTTGAGACACTCACAAACAAACTTCTGAACAGAGAAGAAAACCTGAACTGTTCTCTCTTCTTAGGGACCACCTCAGCACAGGAATCTCACGTGCCAGTGAGACTACAGTAACACTTTAGCAGTGATTGCTCAAAGGGGAGAGTAAGCCAGGGCTCAACTCCGCACTAAGTACCGGTATGTCCAGAACACTGTTCTTACTGGGTCTTTATGAAAGGTATTTAGAAGGTTCTAACATAATTTAGAAGTATTTATAAAGCATTCACCCATCTGTTATCCTACTGCTCTGACTCTGCAATGCTTCATCTGCTCTGACTCAACTCTTCCATCTGGAGATGCTACCAGACCAACTGGAAAAAGCAGAGCAAACAGCATGAAAATACCCAACAAAACAAGAAGTCAGGAAAAAAGCTATAATACCTTTCCTTTTAAAAGCAAACAAGCAAGCAAACCCAGATTTTTATTGTTAACAACACACATGCTACCAGATAGTGGATCAAAGGATATGATGGGGGGTGAATGTGGTAAGAAAAAAAAACAAAAAGAGATAACACTTTCTGCATGGCATTTCTCTGCAGACAAACAAGTCACCAGCATTTAGTGCCCAAGAACAAAAGGTTAACAAACCTGCATCCCAGAAGGTCACCCTGAAACCTCCTTTTCCCAAAAGGCAACTCAGATGGCACAGTTTTACGTCCTTTACATAAGATGGCACTTCAGACCTTTCAGTTCACCAGACAGCTGCTTCAGAGCCTAAATCTAGGCATCAATTTCCAAAAATAGTGCCCTAAATTCTTATCTATCAGTTGATTACATACCAGCTAAAATTACGGTGGAACACAGGGGAAAATTAAAAGACAGCAATCAGAATGTCAGATCTATACGTCTGATCTCACTTCAAAACATTACGGCTATGGACCTACTGAATTAGTATACTGATTTCCAGGCTACAGGTCTTCTCCAAGCAGTGGCCCTTGAGAACATCTCTGGATTGAAATAAAGGAACCTTGCAGAGTCAAATTATTAAGAATTTTAATACAACAGAGTAATCTTCTCCAGCAAGTCAGACAGGACAGATCTACTGGACTCCTCTGGTGGCTCAGCAAAATAATTAACCATGTTTAAAACCTACCTAAGGGCTGAGTATTCAAACGTTTATATAAGAATTGTTCATCAGTTTTATTGTCTTATGTTTATGTATTTTACTAAACTGTGCAGGACCTCGCACTTGGCCTGACATCTGACATCTTTATAAGCATGATATCTAACATCTTTATAAAGAAGTATTCTTCTTACCACTGAATGCCTTTTGTTAAGCATTTCCTACCTCACTTCTTAGGTTTAGATTTTTTCTTAATTAAAAACAAGTATAAGGGGAAAAGGCCTTCCAAAAAAAGTCACAACGCCTTCTGAGGCAATCTCACTCATACATTGTGTTTCCCTATGCCTTCAGGGTTATTTTGTTCCCAATTTTATAGTAATTCAAAAACTGCATTGCTCTGCATACCCTAGCTACAAAAACTAAAATGCTCTCCTAAATTAAAAAGAACCACGTCTTGTGAAAGCAATAGGTATGAAGAAAGAAATGCATATCCACAGACTCAAAAAATATTAGGGATGCCATTATTTATTGAGAAATACCCATTTTTCCACTGATCTTCATCAGTAAACTGGAATTTAGTACACTGCAACTCAGTGCACTGTGGAGAAACGAGCCTGACTCAGCAACAGCAAGGGAGCACGAAGACAGATTTCATTTCTATGGAGTTTGCCCTGCAAGCTCTTTCCATTTCAAACCTCCCAGTACCCTGCAAAAGAACTTTGAAGAGGTAGACCCTTCATTTCTGTTTTTTGTAACTACACATACAATAAGTACTGAAAAACCTCCATAAACAGCCTTTTCTCCTCT